TTTGTACTCTTATTATCACCCACATATATTTATCATATTAATCGGTTATCACTTTGACTTTGTAACACAAATGTCCTAGTTTCGCTTTTTTCGATATCTCTTTACTCATTTGATTACGTATTACCCATCACGTCATGTCGTAGATCAATTATGGTTTCGAATGGCGACAATGCAATGCGGATAGAATATGTGCGGAACGGTGCAAAATGTACTGTTCCATTTGAAGTATTTTACCTTACCTATTCGGAGCGACGATGGCTGTATCTATTGGTGGATATAACTTTTTGTTGGATTGTCCATTAGATGATAAGATCGGAAAAATCAACAACCAAACCCTTTGACAATTAAATCTGCATAATGACTTGATCATATATTATTATCTCCAAAAGGAAATCTCTTGCCAGGATTTCCTTGATTAATAGGAAATTGATTGATTTAACATCAAACTCAAAATGNANNANTNNATCTTAAAAACAAATTCTGGTGATTATGTGATTAATGATAAGTCAATTCAAGTTCGATTTTTTCAAATACGATTTGATTATGGTTGGGCACTATTCATTTATGGTTTGTTAATATGTTGTTATATGTTTATTTGAAAGCTAAACGAACTCAATTGTTGACCGACATATTCCATCGTATATCAAAACATGGAGAAATCATTTTGACTTCAAATGGTAAACATGAGAGGAATAAAAGAATTTAAATGACTACTTTTTTATGTATGGGAATTTGAAGATTAGATAAATTTTGTATTTCGCTAATTCTTCTGCAAATTGTAAATTATTTGAATAAAAATAATGCACATTATTATCGCACTTACTATACTGCTATTACGTCAAAAAAAAAAATATACTGCTATTAACTCTAAATGTTATTTAAATTTGTTTAACGGTCTTAACCAGACTCAAAATTTTTTTTACCAGATAGCTTAATCAACAAAACGCGGTTGTTAAACTAGCCGTTATAAACGGTAATTTAAATACAAAAGATACCACAACAAGTTAAAAAAAAAAAAGACAACAAAACTGTTAATTTTCACTATCTACCACTCAAAACAGAATTAGAAGAAATCCTTGTGACGGAGAAAGATGCGGCTGAGCTCGAAGCTTTATCCGACGAAACATATCCTTCAAACTTTGATCCGAATTCGCTTCTCGAAGAATTCGAACATCCCCAATCACTGTCATCGACCTCAGGAACATCGTCGTCTCCGTTCATATACCTTAGCACCATTCTCATCGAAGGCCGAGACGTCGGTCTTTGATGGCAACAGAGCAATCCGACGGTGAGAGCAAGTTTTGCTTCTCCGCCGTCGTAACCAGATCCGAGTCTCGGATCGACCGCACCGAGAATCTCGCCTTTCGCGTGCAAATCCATAACCCAATCGGCTAAAAAGAAGGTACCGGAATCCGTCGGTCTTCTCCCTGAGACGATCTCTAGCAGCAAAACGCCAAACGCGAAAACGTCAGACGCGGAGGACGATTTACCGTTTCGGGCTAGCTCGGGCGCCATATAACCAATCGTACCAACGACCACTGTCGTGTGCGATAGCGATCCGCGTTCGTAAAGCCTCGCGAGTCCGAAATCTCCCAATCTAGGGTTCATGTCATCGTCGATCAGAACGTTGCTAGGTTTCACGTCTCTATGAACTACGATCTGTTCCCATTCCTCGTGGAGATACAGCAATCCAGACGCGATTCCTTTCGCGATTTGAAAACGCGTGTTCCACGACAAAACGGCGCCGCTTTGTCTCGGTCTACTGTAAAGCAGCGAGTCTAAGCTTCCGTTGGGGATGTAATCGTAAATTAGCAAGAGATCGTTTTTGTGTTTGCACCATCCTTGAAGGTTGACCAGATTCTTGTGCCTTAATCTTCCCAAACTCTCGATCTCTGCAACGAATTCCCGAACACCTTGCATACTATTCGGGGTTATCTTCTTCACGGCGATTGTATCAGAAGAAGAGTTGATGTTTCCTCTGAAAACGGTTCCAAATCCTCCGGTTCCGACGATACGGTTCTCCTTGAATCCATCGGTAGCAGCATAGAGATCTTTGTATTTGAGTCTGTGAGGATGATTGATTTCCCAGTCTTCAAGAATCTCTCCTTGTTGCAATCGCTTCTTATAGATCACGAAGAAGAAGAGTAAAGCAAGCAAGATCAGCGTTACGCCTGATAGAGCCAAGATCAGAGCGAGGACCTGAAAATTGTATCCTCTTTTTTTCGCCGTATTCGGTGGCGGGCGAGGAAGCTCCGAGAGTTCGAGAGGTTCCGCAATCGGACGATCGCCGCCGCTTGCAAAACTCCAACCCATTATGTAATGAGCACTCGACTGATCTCTTCCCGTCGCTGCTGTGAATCCGACATACATTTCTTCTTGCACGATCCGCGACAACTTTGGAACCGATAGTCGCGAGATCAGAGGCTTTATTGGTTTAGACTTCAAACTCGCCGGGTAAACGGTGAAATTCAGCGTTTGTGTTGGTCCATCATAATCCAAAAACGCTCGGATTGGATCACCGCTATGTAGCGGGAAATCCTCTTTGCGGTCAGGATAGTCGTTGTCGTAATACACGACCGGTTCTTGAACATCCGATGTGAGGCTGTTGAAATTAAGACCGATGTGGTTGCCTATTCGATCAGCACCGTCTTTGAATCCTTGTACCGTGTCGAACTCAACCGCGAAAACGTGATTCGTCGAATTCCCGTCGTTCTTTTCGCTTAGAAAACCCAAATACTGAGCGGATTCGGCTCCGGGACGATTAGGGGTCGGAGATAGCGTGAAGGTGAAGCCGAAACCTCCGTTGCTTGAGCTTGAAGGGATTATGACAAAGACAAAAGAAGTGCTAAAGGAACGAACCGTGGCGTTCTTGGAATTTCCACTAGTCTCGAGCAATCTCACCGGTTTGTGGTAGAATGATGTACCGGTAACGTTTGAGTTTAGGTCGGTGAGTCTTAATAGACCGTCGGGTTTGATCATCGCAACTCCTGTCGTAATAATCTCCGATTGCTTTCCTGTAAAACCTCGGAAAGTGAACTTTGTTGTTGAAGTCTCTGTTGTTGTTCTCTGAGCTCGAACAGGGACGGTCAAAATCAAGATCAAGAACATGAACAAGAGTGATCTAATTTGAATACCCATGAATATAGAGAAGGGGTTT